CCTCTTCAACTCTGACTTTCCTTCGTTTTCTTCTTCGACCTGGAGCACGAGTTTCAGCTTCATCTCCTACAACAGACTCTGAAACTACATTCGTTGGAGCTTCCTCTTCGCTACCACAAGACTCTGATACAACATTGGTTTGAGCTTGCATTCCATCTCCGATACCATCTTCTTCGCCTCGCGGTGGTGCTTCAACTCCATCTCTCATAGAACTCTCAGATTCGCCAAGCATTGGAGAGCCCATCCTCAAAATGACGCCTTTGTGTCTAACTATTGGCATTAGGGAAGACGAATTGAGAATTTGGGTTACGGATTAGGGATTTCGATTACGGGTTAGGTTTTGGGATTTGATCTCTCGATTTGGGGATAATTTTGATTTGGGGGTTTAGTTTAGGATAAAACGACGTCGTTTCATCTCAGACGGAGACTCGTTAACGGATGTTAACGGGTGTTAGCGGTTCTGTTAGCGAGTGTTAACGGGGTGTCGTTTTGGCCTGGTCAACAAATTTCCTTAGTTCAAATGGCTGGTAAACTTTTTGTTCACGTATAACATGACCATTTACATAGTTCGAAGTTAAAATGGCCATTTTTTGAAAGTTCGGCTATTAAACGACATTTTTCCCAATTAAAAACCCCAACTTTTTCTGTTGTTGGTGTGTAAAGTTTCTATCTTTTTTAGTCTTTTACCAAAGATAGTGACAGATTTGTTAATAACAAAAACAAAGCTCAAGGCTTTGCATCAAGAACCAGATTACCTTCCTAGTTCCAACTTTATTGGGTACAAGAGACAGAGCAATGATATAAGAAGCTATAAGCTATAACAAAATAATGATATAAATCCACATCAAAACTAGTTAATTGGACAGTTTAACACTTGGTAAGATTAATTTTCATCCCATTGTAAGCTCACATGCTCTTGAATCCCTTGACGCAATTTCCAATTCTTCAAACATACGATGTTTGCGCACCAACTTGACTGAGTCAGGGTAGATAGTTGCATTCACTAATCGTCTTGCGTTCTTCAAAATATACATTGCCACTTCTTTCTCTGCTTGTGTTCCTTTGTAGTCTCTCCACTCAAAAGTTTTGAGATGGAACAACAAACATTCAGGAACACGCTCGGGCTGGATCCAGCAAACTTTACGAACGATAGCTAGACAATGGTACTGGTTCTGCGATCAATGCATTACACTGTTAAACCGGAAACCAAACATGATTGATATACTTGCACTCTTTGGACAGGGAAAAAAGTACCAGCTCAAGCTTGAGAACTTGTAGTTTAGGGGCATGCTGGAGCACACTCACAAGCATATTTGTCCAGTTATCTTCACAGGAACATAGCTCCAAACGCACAAGCTGGAATAAAACGGTACCAGTAGGATACTGAGCCTGCATATTAAGCAAAGGAAACAATGTACTTTTTTTCAGAGTAGCTACTATTTTATCAAGTTCAGAACTTCCAATCGGAATAAGATGTGGA